GCCCCCCACCACCCCAAAAAAAAAGAAGAAAAAGAAACAACACACACAATCTCAATATTTCCAAAGATATTCCAAAATCATAGTTACATAGTATGTGATATGTAGCCGGTCATGGTACGGATTCAGGTATGTAATTTGCCACTTAGAAAATTTGGATTCTAAGAGTGGGTAGCTTGCTTCGGTATGCATGTTTGGTTAGCGGTACGTTATAAACTTTTTTGCATGCATGTACTGTTTTCCAATGTGTATAATAGAAAACTAAAAACTAGATAGCTAATTATGCATTTCAATATATATTTATACAAAATGCTTAAATACTTTTGTAGTTTCATTTTTCTTTTCTTTCTTTTATTGGTTTTCCTTTTCACATAGTTCATGTAGGGGTCATGGTTTCATCTCACTTTTTATCAATATAGATATTTAGTTAGTCGTTGACCCATATATTCTATTGTGTGCCTCCCTTGATTCGATTGTGCCTATTGCATCGTCTTGTGCATGCGCATCTAAAGGGATCATGTGCCCTGTTAGAAGTAATTTAGGGAATAAATAATATTAGGAAAGATATATTAGGAGTATAAATTAGAGTTTTGATGATAGAGAGATATTAGGAAAGTGATTAGGAGGGTAACTAATTATGATTAGACAATTGAGTTTAGTCCCATATTGCCTACACAGAAAAACTTTGTTATGGTATCCCTATACAAAGGGGAGTAGTAATACTTTTTGATGAATGAATGAGAATCTACAATATTCTGTTACTTAAAATGGTATCAGAGCTATGATTCTCAAAATAAAATATCATTAGTCTATTCCTCAAACCCTAGACCCTACACTTCTCAAACCCTAACCCTTTCTTCCTCCTCTCGGTGCATCACCGCCTCCTCGGGCTATTGTCAACCCCTTGGGTCATCACCGCTACCACGGGTTGCCATCGGGTTGACGTTGTCGTTGCCACCTAGTATCTTTTGCTACAAAGACGACTTTGGCATAGTTTATTTGGTTTTCTTTTCTGTTTTTGAAGAGTTATTTTCAGAGTTAGTTGATTTTGTTGATATTTGGTGATGGTATTGGGGTTTGAAATTATTTGAGGGTGGTAGGGTGGTGTTAGGAATTTAGTTTGGTGTTTAAGGGAAGTAGGGAGGTGCTCGGTATTTGTTTTCCAGTTGGAGGGTGGTTATATGTTTTGTGTTATGACCACCAATAAAGAAGTTACTCGGGTCGGACTCTTCGTCATCATTGGTGTTAGGAGGAGATCAACTCATCAATCAGGCTTTTCAAGAGTTTCAGTAAGACTATGGTGCTGCTTAAAATTTGGGTTTGCTTGCATTTATGGTGCAAAATTGACTTAGTGAAGATTAGTTTGGTAAATATCGATTCAGCAAGGATTGTTTTGTTAGCCTGTTTGGATGTATTTAGGTGGTTCTAATGGTTTGCTTAGTTGATTCCTAGAGTGGATCGTTTGTTTGATTGATCCGTAGAGAGGGTCGTTTATTTGGTTGATTCGTAAAGATGATCGTTTGTTTGGTTGATCCATCATTTATATCGTTGATCCCTAGAGAGGATTGCTTGTTTAGTTGATCCCTAGTGTGGATCGTTTGTTTGGTGAATCCGTGGAGAGGATCGTCTTTGTGGTTGGTCCTTGGTGAAGATCGTCTGTTTGGTGGATTCCTAGAGAGGATCAATTGTTTAGTAGATCCCTGGAGAGGATCATTTGTTTGGTGGATCCTTTGAGATGATCGTTTGTTTGGTCGATCTCTGAAGAAGATCGATGTGACACATTTGATGATTGTTTGGTAGAGGTAGTGATTGTAGTAGAGAATACTCAAGTTGAAGAGTAAAAGATCAAGACTACTGCAAAGAAAAGTTACACGCAGATGATTTCAAGCCTTTAAATATTGTCATGAATTAGAGTGAATGTACTTTATTTGTAACAAGCTGGACATATATGTTATACATGTGCCAGCTTGAGGAGTGTCAGCAGTAATTTAGGGAATAAATAATATTAGACAAGATATATTAGGAGTATAAATTAGAGTTTTGATTATAGAGAGAGATTAGGAAAGTGACCAGGAGAGTAATTGTGATTAGGAAATTGAGTTTAGTCCCATATTGCCTACACATAAAAACTTTTGTATTCCTAATGAATGAGAATCTACAATATTCTATTATTTAAAACTGATTACTTGTAAGCGGTGCGACAATTTTGGGGAATCAATTCGTGCATCGGATGGATTTGGGTCACAAATAGATCGGGAATCGGTTTGCAGGAAATGTACGACAGTTCAAGGGGGGTTCCTGGGAATCGCGCAACTATGCTCCAAATCATTACCTTTGATAGCCTACTTTGTAGCTGTAACGTAAAAAATATGAACAAAATCGTCAAATATTTGCTCACAAATCCAACAAAGTAGGAGTGGAAGTGAACGAAATAATTAACGAACAATTTGGTTATTATTCGTCCATTTATTATTCATCTAGCTATTTGATTGGATTCGTTTTGATACGTTGTTTAATAGAAAACAATTAACTTTTAGTATTCAATTCATAAACAAATAGAATTTAATGAAATGTATATTCAATTCGCTTGATCATTAAATATTCATTAATGTTTTATATTTATTAAATGGTAGAATAAAATTTAAAAATAAGTTATTAGATAAATTGATGGATAAACTTGAATGGAAAAGGCAATTTAGAAGTAAAATCAACAAATATGATGCCTTGGAGGATATATTTACAAGTATATACAAGTAGAAGGATGTATATGTAAAAATCTCCAAGTAATAGAAAGGCAAAAATATATGTCAACTTAAAGGTTCGAATCATGGATTTTCTATTTGGAAAAAGCCCCCAACCAAATGGGCTAACAAAGATTTGTTAATAGTTACCATATATCAATATACTGACGAATCGAATATGAACATCTTTGCGATATTTGACCCGAATTCAAATTTGATTTCAAATATTTCGATTTCAACCAAATTTGTGTTCGAATACACTGATATTCAAATTGATTCAGTCATTTTCTGCCCCTTGTAGTAGTAAAATATTGAGTTTGGAGGGGGGTAGTTTTGCAAATATGCATGATCTAAGGGGTATATATATATACCAAACAACCTGTAGTTTAATAACTTTTTTTGCTTAATGGTCTTTCATTTTCATGTTTTCTTTATTTATGCTGCTGCTTATCTATTGATACTTCTTATCTTGTTCTTTAACCTCTCACAAAAGTTAGTGATATCGATTTTTTCTTCTTCTGGTGTATCAGACAGGAAAATATGGTAAAATTAATAAGTGTGTGTCATTTCCTGATATGCTGGACATGATACCCTTTGTGACTGGGACTGCTGATAGCCCTCCCCTTTATATGTTATATGGGGTGGTTGTGCATTTGGATACTCTGAACGCTTCATTCTCTGGCCATTATGTGTCATATGTTAAAGATCAGCAAGGAACATGGTTCAGAATAGATGACTCTGAGGTAATAACCTGTATTTCTGTGCTTTATTGATACACTACAGTTAGAAATTATCTTAGGGCCTGTTTGGATTTGTAGGGGGTGAAGGGAAGTTAAGGGAAACTGAGAGAAGGGAAGGGAAGGGAGTTCCCTTCTCCTTGGTTACACCCCAATTTGAGGGGTAACAAATTTTATAGTATTAGGGGGTGAACCAAGGGGAACTAGGGTGAATTAACTTCACCTCCTAAGTGTTCCCAAACAAGGTGAATGGAGGTGAATGGTTCCCCTAACTTCCCTTCACTCTCATTCTCCTCGATCCAAACAAGCCGTTAGGGAATAAAATTAAGTTTGTATATCAGTCACATTATTAGAAATTTATTAGCTTGGTTTCTCTGAAATGTATTAGATGATCTCTGCGGTTATAGTTGGGTTTGATGAGGTGCACTTTGAAGATGCACAATATTTCATTTATGGACAAGACCTTTAGCATATTTTATTTTGAGTATCCACTTATGAAATGATGAATATGTGTGTGTGTGTATATGTATAAATGAGATTGCATTTAAAATATGGATTATTTGCATTCTTCCTTTGGTATGGTCTAATTAAACGGGTGACCCTGGGGTTTACTGACTGAATTACACAGATTAGACAAAGATTACAGACTGACATACGGGCAACCCTGAGTCATCAGTGTAATTACGCCATACTATTAGGGTAACCTGTGTAAACCCAGTCAGTAATCTCATGATTATCTGTGTAGATACGCAGACCCAGGGTCACCCGTGTAATTACAACCATAAAATAGTGTGCCATGATGTGAATAATCCTTTTTTTGTAAAAGAAAAAAATGTTACATTGAGAACACATGCATAAACATATTCATCCCATCAGAGAAACTTAGAACCCTTTTTCTCATTAAAACTAATGATCCCTGATATCTTTCTGACTAATGACCCCTGAATATCTTCTTTTAGGTGCAGGCTGTTTCATTGAGTGAGGTAATGTCAGAAGGTGCATATATGTTGTTCTACTCAAGGTATGTTTTTATAAACTCTATCCGTATATGTTCGATTAGATATTCCACTATTTCACCTTTCAATGTCATTTAGGTCTTTCCCTCGCCCTCCTAGAACTTACATTGAGAAAGCACACAGAACTCAAAAAACTTCAAGACATAGCCAACACAAACAAATTGAAGAAAATTCAGGAAAGTGCAGAGATAATCCCCAAGAGGGAATTGTTCTTACTAAAGAAGAAACATATGCTGATTCAATTGGCATGGACTTCTCCGATGCTACATTAAGTGACTGGTCTCTCTTCACAAGTTCAGACGAATCATCTTTCACCACTGAGAGCACTAGAAACTCATTTAGCACCGTTGATCATGGAGAAGCTTCTAACCTTGATCCAATATCCTCAATATTTGCAACACCCTACTATGTGCCAGAGTATCCTCAGAGCAATACAATCTCCTGTAAAAAGTTCTCACCTTGTAGGGCTCAGACAAGATTTTTCTCAGAGAGACAGGGTTTCATATTGGATTCCTTGTTGGGTAATCAATCTGATGATGTACATAAGGGAAGCAATTTCAAGCAGGGAAACGTTTTGTCAGAAGAACATTATAGATTGTAGAAGTAATAGTAATTTGTAGTCGATACGGGAGTAATCCCAGGAGGGTTTGTCCAGAATTTCCTGGATTTCTTTTGTTGTCTGTAGACATTTAATCTAGATTTGATTACCCATTTCTGTTATTGAATCTTAAGCTAGAAATTAGACATGCCTCATGTTTTTTAGTCGATCGAGGCGTGCTTAATGTTCATTCGAATTGTCAAAAAGAGAATGGAAGCTCACACCTTTTGTATTAATGAAGTAATCTAGTGGTAGTTCTTACATGGCATGTCTTTCAGAATTTGGGGGAATGATCATAAATATGATATTACTTTTGCGACAGATAAAATTGGGTATTTCCTTTGGAGAAAAATGGCTATCATATGATCAATGAGGGGGTTTTTTTTCCTCATATGCAGTGATGTTATTGAATTCCAAATAATTAATGTGGGTTGAGTTAAAGTAATAAAGAAAGAACTCTATTATTAGCTTGATTGAGACTCAGTCACATCATTGTATATGAGAAATTTTCTCAAATTGTATGACCCACCATTCTTCTTACATATTCCTCCTATTCTACCTTTTTTTAGTACAATGCCATTAAGTTTATTACAGTCCATTGTGCATTAAGTCTTTAATTTAGCAGTCAAGGTTGGATCATCAAAGACATCAGTTCAAGACTGAGCTACAACTTGCTAAAGTAAAAAAAAAACATTAGATATCTTAACTTGCCAGCTAAGTGCAGGCTGAGTAGTTCCATGGAAATCAAGAATGAAACCCGACTTTCTTATGGTAAGTAGCCAATTGTAAGGGTCAATTGGAGGAGCTAGGAAGAGAATAGGGGAATAAATTTCCTTTAGCTAGTAGAAAAGATGGAGTCTGTTTCTATATTTGAAATTGTTGAAGGAAAAAAAAAAGTGAAAGTAAATAAACAAATATTAAGTTCGGCTAATTAAGCTCTAAGTAGAATGAAACTTACTAATCATACCTTGATGAAAACAAGAATCATGAGTAGACAAGCAGAACGTCCCATCACTAATGGAATGATCCCACAATGAGTGAGAGTTTCCTCTAGCAATGATGATGGAGCCATGGCGCCGCGCTAATAAGTAAATAAAGCACTAGAGATTTGTATAGGCACGAAGAGAAGATTTAGCTGTGGGGGTGGTTGGATCCAGTCAAAGGAGCTCTGTTTCATTTTTAAGGGACAGTCAAGCTTAATTTCAGCTTAGAAAATATTTATAATACTAACTAACTATATCCGAGTGTTCTTTCAAGCATTAGATCTTTGAAAGAGTGAACTTGATGTAATAATATTTTAGTCTTTTTACAGCGCGTAAGAGATTAAAGCCAACTTATACTAGACTAGGTCTTGGACCCTAGATAATCCATGTGCAAATTATGTCTTATAGAAGTCGGATCTCTAATTTACGTGAAGAGAGGATATTGTAAAGAAATTTGTGAGTGTTCTTGTAAAAACTTGAGTGTTTTGTGAGTTTATGTGAGTGGTATCAGAGCCTGCCATCTGCCGTCCTGGAGTTTTGTAATATAATCTTTATAAGTTTTTCGTATTATTAATATGATGGTCTAAATTTTCTATCTTTCTCCAATCTCTGTCTTTATTATGTAGTTTAATTTTGCTATTTTGTTTATATTTGCTTTGCTTATCATGTTACGCCTGGAGGTAGAATACGAAGCTAAGCTGTGCTCTCTCTCTCTCTCTCTCTCTCTGAAGAAGCATGCTAGGATTGTTGTAACTTTTTGTGTAGTAGCACGAGTGCTGCTAGTTTCTGTTAGTTCTCTTATTTTGATGATGATTTACAAACATTATTATCGGTGCTAATTGCTTGTTGAGTTATATTGTGTAGATTACAAGTTGTCAAGCAAGTTAGTGCCAATGTTGGAGGATTGGATGGAACAAAGAGTTACAAGGATAATATCCATGGAGGTGGAGGCAATGTGGTGAAGCAAAGCTTTCAAGAGCACAATACAAAAGAGAAGCTTCATCAAAATATGAGCAAATATCAAGACCAAAGAATTATATTCATATATGTGAGATATTGCATCTTTTTCTTTCTCTCTAGTGCTTGATGTAGACAAGTTATTGAGTTGATAACATTTGAAGCTCATTGGGTTCACACACACTTTCACAAAAACATTGTTTTTGAACTATTTTGAAAAATTAGTAGTTTTTATAATTGGGAAATGATTTTTTAAAAATTCTTTTTCTAACATGTTCAAAATCATGTTTATAAACATATCTCAAAGTTTTATATTTTTTGGATTTTATCTGCTATTTTTAAAGGCTCTCAAAAATTCAAATTTCATACATGCACAATGCCTGTGCACGTTTATAAGTCGACTTATGCCTGAGATAAGTCGACTTATGAACTTTGCTGGAATATGTAGAAAACTTCTGCTGAGTCGACTTATAAATCGAGCAAGTCGACTTATAATACTTATATATGATAAGTCGATTTATGATCTCTAGCAAGTCGACTTAAATGTGTTGTATAGCTTGTAACGGGCAGTTTATAAGTCGATTTATGTACTGTAGCAAGTCGACTTATAACACTATAACGGCTAGTTTTTGGCTGAGCTGAAATTATGAGATTTTGTCTCTTGTTTGGGGTTTGGGCTATGGTTTGGGGCTTCTATAAATACCCAACCACCCTCATAACTTCTGTAATCAACTCAACAAGAGAAAAATCTTAAGTTTGATTTTCTAAGTATTTTTTAAGCTCAAACTTTCAATTCTTAATCCTCAATTGTGTTTAAGCCTTTGTTTTTCTCACATCCACACTCCAATTCTTAATCCTCAATTGTGTTTAAGCCTTTGTTTTTCTCACATCCACACTCCACAACCCTTGAGCTTTACTTGTTCTTAAGCCTTTGTTTTTCTCACATCCACACTCCACAACCCTTGAGCTTTACTTGTTCTTCACTTGATCCTTATCATAGGATTGATGTTGTTAGACCCTAGGGGGGTGATTAGGGTCTTATGCTAATCTAATCCGATTTAAATGCTAATTAAAATTAATTAATAAGTTATCCTAGCAAGTATGAAATACAACAATATTTGTAAGCTAGGCTAAGCAATATGAACAACAATATATATATATCCTAATAATGAGATATAGGCAAGTATGTGCAAGGATATATAAACAACACAAGGGTAGATAATCTAAACAAGATAGTGGATGATATAGTAATGAGCAATGCACAATGGCGATATAAGATATGAACATAAATGAAAGTGAACGCTCACCGAAAACCTTACAATCTCACAATGTAACAAATATAAATTTGTTCTCTACAATAGATGAGAACTCAATTAAGCACAACTCAATGTTATAATCTCTCACAACCCTAATATACTATGTATGCAAATACAATAAGCTCAAGTGGGTGTGTGTAACAATGAGATATAAAATCAAATCTAAACTCAATATAAAACTAGCTTTAATAGAAATGATAATTAACAAATAATTATAAGTAAAAGCTAGAGTTGAGTTTAGGAAAACTTCTCTAGATCAAGATGGAGAGATGGAGATTTGAGGCCCAAACAATAAGATAATCTACTCCACTTGTGAAAGCTAAAACTGCTTTAAACCAAACCCTTAAACAAGCTTAAACAAGCTTAAACTCTTTTTAAAACCCTTGTTTAAAAACTTCTTAGCTTTTTTTAAAACATTTCTTAAGTCTTTGAAAAGAGATCAGCAATTGGGTATTTATATCCACTCAAGATCTCAACAAGAACCCCAAACCAAATGACAAAACAGCCACAGACAAATCATCTCAGAAATAGCCGTTAGGAGACAACGGCGCTATTGTCGGTCGACCGGAAATTCTGTCGGTCGACCGATGGAGCGCAAAAACAAGAAAATCAGCTCTGGACAATCGTCGGTCGACTGGTGCGGTCGACCGATGGAGCTTTCGGTCGACCGGACCGGTCGACCGACAGACTCTCTGTCGCCCAGTGATAAAGAGATCAAATGATCGGTCGACCGGTTCGGTCGACCGAATACTGATACATAGAAAACAGGTTTTGAAGACTGTATATCTGATTTTGAAACACTGTTTAAAAATATCAAATAAATTCCAAAAAATATAAAACTTTGGGGAATGATTGTAAATATGATAATAAACATGCTACAATGACTGGTTATCAAAAAGGACTTCCCAAATGAAAAATATCATCATTTTACAAACTAGTTCAAAACATGAAAATATGAGATACTTGAGTTTTGATGTTTTGACATAAACCAACTTTTGAAACTTTGTGAAATGTTTTTATAGACTTAGTAAAACATGTATGAACTGATATTGAAGTCTATAAACTAATAATACAATATTTTCACAAAATTGCATATTCTATGCAATGTTTTCAAAAACACAATAGTAAATATGAAATATGTGATTTCATATTATAAACATGAAAACCCAAAACCATGCATGTATATATATAACTAGATATATATACATAGAAAACAAAACTTATGTATATATATATATAACTATATATATATACGAAGAAACCAATAAGTGTGTGTGTGTATAGATATTGAGCTTAAGGTACTAACACACATAATATAAACTCCTAAACTAAATTTCCCAAGAAATGATCTTGATCTTCAACAAGCTTGACTTGATAATCTCGCGGATGAAGCTTGAACTTGGATCTTAAACTTTGAATAGCAAGGCTTCACCGACATTCTGCCAACCTCCTTTGGATATGATCGTTGAAGTTCTATTCCATCCATCCTCCAACACATTGTTTGTCTATAATAAATAAGAAAACACAAATACTAGACAAATAACATTAGTGGTAAATTGTTTGTTAAACATCATCAAAACAAGAAGGCCAAAAGATGTGAGAGTTTTCCTTCTTCCATTGTGATTGTGTGGTGAGATTGATCTCGAGGAGATCATTTGTGTGGATTGTAAAATCTCAAGAGGAGATCGCTGTGAAGAACTTCCGGCTTCCAAACCGGGTGTGATAGTGAAGTTACCATCGGGAGAGGTGGTCGGGATGTAGGTCGGAGGACCGAACCTCGTGAATATATCGCGTGTCGCTTTTGGCTAACTATTCTCTAAACATTTTCTCTATTTATTGCTTTTGCATTTATTTTGGTTGGCGTGTTGCATTAACAAATTTTAATTGCACATTTATTGTCACATTACCCTATTCACCCTCATCTAGGGTAATTTCAGTTTCAAGTCTGCACCCCGAGCAGAAAACCACGCTCAGACAGTGTGTGTTTAGCGGGAGAGAAAAGGGTCA